GACGAAGGGCTAACGCTCGAAACGTCAGCTTTTGTAATCATTACGGTGGCCAATTTACCATTTCAACTTTGTTGATATATCCAAAAAAGTAAAGATTGCCTTACTCAAAAAACGTGAATAATTTTATTTAAGTATCAACGTTATCACTAAGCTTTAAGCAGATAGTTAACAAATAAGTAATCCCATCAGCAGAGTCAGCCTGTTCTCCAGTATGTCTCAGTTCCAGGCATTTATCAGTTTACTACGCATGTACAACTTGAAATGGATAATGCATTTGACAATGCGTATTCCTAGTAAAAAGCAGGGCAAAAAAACTCCTGGAAAATCTTATGTCACTAATTTTCTGCTGCTGAAAAGCCAAGTAGGGTATTATATAAATGTATTATGTCATTGTCACATAAAATTGTGATGACATCCTGTTTACATTTCCAAGCTAACTTATCTTCTCACTGGGACTGGTGCAAGTAAAATTTTGTTCAGATTGATACAAAATTCCATAGGAAATCCTAAAATTAGTAGCCGCGTTCAACAAAGCTTCCTTCAACAAATTCTATCCATTGATCTTTTTTCACAAGTTTTGTCAAGTAAATCCCAGTGATTGTTACATGCTTTTGAAAACTAGGGAAAGTATCTGCATTGTTTGTGAACCGTCCTTGGTTATCTTTTTCTGCGAAAACTAACCTCAGTGTAAATCTTTGATGGTGAATTTTAGATGAGAGTATCATCGAGAATGTAACACTTCATAGTAACAAGAAACTGAAATTTTATGTTGTCTTACGTGTTCAAGCTAACTTCCTTTCTCGCAAGAACTGGCACAATTGAAATTTTGTACAGATCGTCGCAAAATTAGCATTTTTCTCAATACAAGACAACTTCATCGTTTGTCAGAGCGTCGTAAATTATCTGACTATCCAGAAATTTACCTCGTTTTCTCATTTATCTATGCATTTTAGTCTATTTGGCATTTTTAGTCTGGAAGAAGTTGTTAATGTATCAAGATTCTCCCAAGAATTGGCGCTATTGAAATTCGTCCTAGATCGAAGAAAAATCTAGCATTTTTTTAATTACAAAATGTCTTCATCGTTTGGTAAAGCATCCTTGAGCACGTCACTCTGCAAAAATAAAGCTCGTTTTCTAATTCCCCTAACACATATGCCCTTTAGTCTGTTTATTATTTTTTAGTCTTCAAGAAGTTATTAATGCATAGCTATTGAAAGACAGTCACAACCATTCATAAAATTCCGCGAAATTCGAAGTGAAGACCTGATTCCTTCATTCCTTCAACAAAGATGTTGGATACTTTCGATTCGTTACCTAAATAAACATTGCTGTGTCCCGGTGAAAATCATCTTCTCCTCGAGTAAAAAGGGCTAATTATTCTTGAATCAGTGTGATATACATACAGACTATAAACTTATTTACTTGAAATTAAAGAAGTAAGATATATATTAAGAACCAAAATGTTTCCTTTGGGAGCATCTTTTACATGAAATCTTCCTTTGCATTTGGGGCACTTTGCTCGCAGCAAATTTCCAGTAAAATCCTTGACCGGTGAATCCTTCCGGCAACTGGGACACGTCACGGTGTTATCATCTCGCTGAAGACTCGGCAAAGTTTCCATTAGCCATTTGGCACGTTTGGACCCAAGTTCCTGGAAAGAGTTTTTTTCCTCTTTGTTTAGGTCGTCTACTTCCCAGTAAACATCAATAAATTTGAATCCAAGGACTTCTGCGTTCTGTACTTGGAAAAAGCCGTAGTCTCCCCAGTCGTGTCCCCAGGAATTCAGCAGTCGCAAATATTCGCTGTTGAAACTGGTTAGAACTACTGCATGGCCAAACCTTCTTGGGATATTTGGAAGACGGGCTGACATATCGATCTCTTTCTTTGTCAAAACACCTTTTCCATTAGTTTCGAAAAACTCTTTAAACTTTCCCCACTCATCGTGGGTAAGCTTAAATGTAGCAACAACTGGTCGGCTTGAAGCGACCGCTTCCATGGCACCGCAGAGGTCAACTTGCTTGTAACGTAAACGGTACTTTTTGCACATTGCCATTAACACTTTGTTGATACTGGTCGCTTCTTTTCCAAACTCACCGATCATTTCATCTTTCAATTCTTTGAAAGTTGGAATACCGCCTTCGCGACCATGAATTCTGGTCATGGCCAAATGAAGCACTGTAGCAGATGCATGTGCATAGCAGGTGTGTCCTTCTTGCTTTTCTTGTGCTTCGTAGTCACTCACGGACTGGTTTATGTAGACATCGAGGTCGACGTCTGCAAGCAAATCAGATAACGCCTCTTGAGAACAGACGACTTCTCGAGCCAGCTGGCAAGCCTCTCGTAGATGGTCGGGATGATTGACGTGCAGGAACAAGCATGTTTCGTTGTTCGTGGTCTCAATAGACCATTCGCGTTTGACAAACATGGAGCGTGGTATCGACTGCGTGGGCAATGTTGAGCTCAGTGAGAAAAGGAACTTAGCTGCCAGTTCCCAGTCATCTCTCTTCTCGCTGTACAATCGTCTAGGATCAATCCTTGTGGATGTAGTAACAAAGCAGCTCACCACGGTCACACCGGCGTTGTTTAATCTTCTGACGGCTCTCTCTATTCTTGTCCAATCATCCGCTTTTCCATCTGCAGGCTTCCCGTCTGACAAGACAAACAGCAGCTTTTTGTGACTTGAAAATTTAAACGCGTTTTTCTCAAAACATTCTGTCGCCCTGGTAATTGCTTCGTACATGGGCGTTCCACCGTAAATGTAGGGCTCGATGCTTCGTAATAATTCTTGGCTCCTTTCTTTAGAGAGTTCTTCTTCATCGATGTATCCATGTAAGATATCTGAAGCTTCTTTCACATTGAATATGCGAGGTGTAAACTCTCTCTGTCTTACTCGGTTGGTTTCATCATTTTTTACTAACTCGGGCTCGGCTTTTCTTTGCACTTCTCTAACGTCTTCTTTCGTAGCCTGTCTGATGGATGACCCCGCTGATGAATAAATACTTTCGCTTGCTCTGTAACTTGTGTAAAGAGCAACAGGCATTGTCACCAACGCAAATGGGCTGATCGCTCCAGCGCCAAATAACAGGACTCCTGGCAAGCCCCAGGCTGCGGGAGGGACTTTAGGAAAGTCTCTGCATTCTGGTGGGAGACACTCGTGAACGAACTTTTTAAGGAAATCCTTGTCAGATTTAGCTTTTTCTAGAAACAAGCGAGCCATGAAATGTGTCAATGCACTTTTGAGGACTTCCACACTTGCCCATTTGCGGATATTTTGTGCGCCGGCTGTCTCCAGTATTTGGAAAATCTCTTCTATCTGATCATTTGTGGCAGACTGAAGACCCGTCAAGATATCAAATACTTCCCCACCAGCTTTAGCTCCAAAGGC